TTTGATATGCACTCTTTTTGACCAGCTGCCTTTTTTTTGCTTTTTTTATGCATTTCTTTTGCATTTCCTGGTCATCCTTTGTGAGTGTGGTTTTGCCTTTTTTTTGCTTTTTTATGAATCCTTGAGATTTCAGAGTTAGGCTGTAAGGTACATCATAACATTATAGTACATACTAGTACTATAGTACAGAGTCCATTTGCAAGAGTGTCTCGGAAAGTCGTTGGAGGGGTACGAAAAACCCAGGAGTTCAGTTCAATGGAAATATCTGGGAAGGAGTTCTTTTGGGGGACATATATTTTGGTGTCCCCACCAAGATCAGAGCAGGTGGAGTTGGTTCGGTTAACCTCGATTTTGTCCAGGGACACTGTTGGAGTCAGGGTACGAAGGGCAACCGATCCAACCGATCCAACCGCTTCCGCTTCCGCTTCTCCAGTTACCAGGTGCCTCGTGCGCCCCGCGTCACCGCCGAGCGGCTCCTGTCACTGGGCCGGTGTTCGTGAAGAGGAGCAGAGGGCAGCAGCTGGATGCAGCTGGTGCCAGGGAGGGAGCCAGGAAGCTAGGGAGTTACCAGGACTTACCAGGAGTCCAGGAGGAAGTCTAACATACGTGTTTAACATCCTGAGTGCCGGGGAGCGAAAAAGCACACACTACGTACTCACTACGAACAGTTTCAGCACATTAGGTACTGGTGCTACCACTTGGCTACCAAGTTTGTAACCTACCAGGTACTAGCAAGTTTGGTTTCGATCACAACACAAGATTCAGATGAAGTACCAGGTACTACTCACCAGTACTAGGTCTTGCTTCGCTACTTACTTGCTTAGTTTCACATCGCTACCAGGTCCGAGAGGTCCATCCTGGTCCGGTCCATCGGAACCGGCAGATGGGTGGAGTTGGTAGATCCAGGCTTGGCCGATCACTGACCAACCCCCAAAAAAAGCAGTTGCTCCACTGACTTGTAAACCCAAGAGGGTTACATGTCTATTCCTCAACCTAGAAGTCTTAGACAGTTTTTCGATCTAGTGGCCGCAAGCTGCACGTTGTATCCCTGGAGAACCAAAACCTTTCCTCCAAACCACGTCCAAACCACCGCGCGGCCTCAGGTCCAGCGGTTTGCGTTTGCGGGACCTGGGAGAGGACCGAAACCACCGAAACCACCGCAGCCAAACAACACACGAATGCCGAGCCAGCCGTGGGTCGTGGAGGGACTGAGTGAAAGGATGGTCGTTTTTTTCAGCGGATTTTTTCGGTGTTTTTTTGTTTTTGGACCAGCCCAATACATGGCGAACACATCACTCATCAGTGGTGGTGCTCCCGGTGAGCTGGAAAAAAGGAACAGTTTGCATGTTGTTCGATGGGCGTATGACATGTGTGTTCAATAGTGTTCAATACTTTGTTGAAGGAACGGAACAAATAAGTTGAGCGGCAATGTGCAGGACAATCATATTTCAATTAACCTATTTATGCAATCAAAGTTAATCAAATTGCATGATATGATAGTTGGTTTGATGCAAGACATAGGCGGAGGACGACCAACTATATATTTTTACGTAATTTACGTCTGTGACGAGGTACACTTGGACAGACAATTTGTGAAGCAACCTGATAACCTCTGTGGCCGCTGTGCGACGGGTGCGAAACAAATCGAGCTGTGCGCCCTGAAAACACTCTGGTCGCCAGGCTGAATGGTCCTTAATCTTGGACGCACACGACGAATACTTGCGTGAGGGTTCCTCAGGTGGACTACGGCCTGGGACCTGGGCAGGGCACGGGACCTGGGCGGGGCAACTCTTTATTCAAGCTGACCGGAACTGTCCAGGTTCTGTTTGCTTTTTCCGGAAGCTGACTGGTGGGGGGTTGAAGAGGCCTTCAAATACCGACTTCTACGCCTCTACGCCGTGAGACACCCCGTGTTGGACGGCGTTTGACTCGAGTTCTGAGGGTTGGACTGGAAGTCGTCTCAGTCGCGGGGAGTGGAACGGGGGGATGAGTCGGGGATAAGAAAGATCAGACTGATCGTCATGGTCCATGGTAGCATTAAGTCTATCTATAAATGTGTTGTCCACCCCCAGTCTGTGGCTGTAAGATTCTCTTAATGGTAGTAGATGATGGATTTGAGTATTAAAAATCCGAGCAATGGAACCCAGTTCTGAATCAACCTGCTAGATAGACTGCGCTGGTTGGTTGACATGGTGGTCAGTGGGTTCGGTCGCCCCAAGGTTAAACATGAACACACTGTATCCGAAACCCCCGCCCAGAAGAGGATGAAAAGGTTTGTATTGTCACCAGAGAAGTTCAAGAACCGAACCGAACTCTAAGCACATCCACCGGAGATGTCCATAGATTTGCAAGCGGCAAACTTGGGGGAAAGGATGAGAAAGGGATTCCCAACAATTAGCTTGTCGGATGCACGGGGGCCTTTGTCTAACCTGCAAGAGAATGACCTTCTACAGAGTTTCTGTAGATTTCCCATGATAAGTAGGACTACCTTGATGGTTATGGTTATGGAGCAGTCGGTTCTGCACAAGGTAGAATTTGAAGGCGTCTTGAAGTGGATGGAACATATCCAACAGCAAATAGAACATTGAACGAATCTCAAAACGACGTACAGTAACCCTTCAGAATCTATCAGAATCTTTGTTTCCCATACTACGATTGGCATATATTGGCATGGAGTCGATGAGTGTCTAGACCCCGCATCTGGGAATGCAAGGTCGACCTCAGTCTCCACTTCCAAGTCATGAAGTGCTTCCACTCCAAGTGTCTTCCCAAGTGGAAGTACTGTAGAATCCACATGAGTTGTTGTAGAAGACGTGTGGCTGCGTCAAAACCACCCTGGTTGATGGTCAAATGAAACAGACCCCCCGCAAAGGAAAAGGGACGTCTCAATCGAGCATCCTCCCCGAGGCCGCGGCAGCTACGAGAGGATCTTTCCCGATCTGAAGAGCCAGGTAGATGCTGACTGTGCGGACGGAGAGGTCCAGTATAGTGATGTAACAAGATGTCTCAAGCAGGAAATAAGAGTGAACCAAATACTACAAGTGGACAGCTGGTTGTGGATATTGCCCAATACATGGACGATTTCTTCGCTGGTCGAAGACGCAGGGACATCAATTACTAGAATTGGTTGGAGAAGAAACAAACATAACAAACTTCGGACCAAGACTTTCAACATCTTCAACATCTTCAACCGTTCCTATCATAGGAACGAGTTGGATCCGCCCTCGAATCACCACCCACTTTGAGCTCTTGAAGCAGGAAAGGCCCGGCCTTCCCCTCTTTGGACGGTGTATTTGGGTGAGACCTATGTGGATGTGGGAAACCTATTTGCCCAGTGGATGGGTGAATCCCCGAACATGTTTGCCCAGTTCCTGAAGCCAATCCATGACAGACTTTTGTTCATGATTTGTGGATGGTGTTGGTCATGTGTTGGTCAAAAACTCCCACTCACTCACGTGTTTCAGTGGATGGCACCATCTGTTTGTAGAGTAAGGTCTGGTCTTCCATGGGCTATGTTCATCAAGGTTCATCTTCCATCTTGCTGAGTCGGGGAACCCCCCACAGGGTGGACACCAACGGTGTGGACACGGATGGCCTATCTTGCCGTTGGGAACGCTTAGGTCTTAAGAGATGGACACGCATTAGGACACATGGAGGAACTCATCATGGAAGTGGGAACGAATATGTACTATAGGTGAGTTCAAGTTCCATGGATTGGGTTGATCACTTCCATGGGTGAGTTCAACTCAGGAAACTAGGTGATGATTTCGGAGATGTTCAGCCCTTACCTGGGGATGATGACGGGTTGAAAACACCAGGTTTTAAGAAAAAACGGCTGGTGCTTTACAACAAATATGGTCCTCCGACCTGGTCGTTGGGCCCCCCGTGGAGCCTCCATGGAGGGGCCCACTCGTGTAGCTTCCTATCCGAAAAGCCCGTACCCTACCGCTACTAGTAACAAGGGCAATTACTACTAGTAGTAGAAGCTACTAGTAACAAGACCTTTAAAGAGCCCGTACCGTACCGTAGCCCGCACCCTCTCAACGTGCAGGAACTCTTCCGAACCCAGCGCTATGCGAACTGCGTCTTGGCGAAGTGGCTCCGAGAAGGAGGCGCGCGGCATTTGGAAGGAAGCGTTTGGGTGGAAGGTGGAAGGAGGTCTTTTGTGACCTGAAAAAGGATCCGGCGGTGTTGATGATGGGCTAGGAGGATCCTTGAGTGCGAACTTGGCCACTTTTGCGGGACTTAATTACATTCACACGGCAAGGGAGGAATTGCAGGATACGAAGCAGAATATACTCTTTGATCATCTTTGATCTGCAAACAAATGCACACACCTGTTCTTTCTGAGGAAGCCAGCAAACGGGAGCTTGCGAGGTCACTCAGATGGTTTTTGCCAGGAGCTGATGTGCACTCTATGTCACAACTGCGAGATCCATTCAGAATAGACGGTCTTTTGCCGTATGGCCGCCTAATCCTGGGGTCCTGGATCCTGAGGATCATAGGTCCAACTAGATCAGGTTTGGCTCATGTTCAACTCATGAAAACTCTAAAGCCTAAAGCGAGTTATAGCTCCGGCTGAGTCTCAAACATTGATCCCACTCCTTGGGCGAATGCTACGGGTTTTCCGCACGCGGCACGGTTTGGCGAAGGCTTCGGAGAGGTCATACAGCGAACAGCTCACAGCGTGGAAGGGCTTTTGGCTGCTTTTGGCTGCAGCCTGAGTTAGGAACGAGGCAGAGGGCGTGCACTTTGAGCCTTTGATACTGAATGATGCTCTGGATGGCACACTGTGCAGCTGGGCTGGGCTCTCGGGTGGTTCCCGAGCGGCGGAGTGGCTGGCCGTCTGCATCCAAACCGCTTTCACCGAAGGATCCACTGCCACCGTCGTGAAACGCGGCGTCGTTTCGCGGTTTCGGACCAGACACGGCGTGTCTCCTTCCTCGCCGTCAACGAGGATGGCAGTGGATCCACAGGGAAAGACATGTGATCGATTCCATCAGCGATTGCACCTCAAAGTGCTGGAAATCAGCTCCCTTTTCGAAGTAAGCTGGGTTCATCAGCGATCTGGGTCAGGGCCATCGGTGCCTTGCCTTTGATGAAGCGGCTTAAGCAGCTGCTGAGATTGACCATTCCCAGACCATTCATAGACTGATTGTCTTCCTCCCCGGTGTGTGTGTGCAGCGACTTGAATGCCGAAGCTTGGCTTAATGGCAGTGCGTCGGCGCTTGTAGTGGAACAAGGTGAGTTGATTTTTCAGTGGCTGAGGGAGAAAAAGATGGAAACAAGTTCTGACCATCCATCGGCTAGTCAAAACCAATTCATCTTTACTGGTTTTCGGCGCTTTTCACAGCAGCACAACATAGCAGCTTACCATTGCTTCATATGGCTTCCTGGACCGAGACCGGACGGGTTGCTGGTGGGTACTCGGCGGTCTGAAAGAGGTCTGAAAGAGCGCATCGGTTCAGTTGGTGTTGTACCTTGCTTGGAAGAAGCCAAGCACCATGAGGGCCAGCCTTCAGCTGCCCACTGAAAACCTGGTTCTAGCTCTAAGCTTTACCGCCCAGTGCCTTCCATCCGTTTCCTCAGTAGGATCCGGGTCGACGCGTGTTTCTTTCAATTCGTCCCGGCGGTTTGGACGATGCTGAGCCACAGGTGAAGATTGCTTCCTCCCGGAGCGCGTCGACTTGCCAGCCGGCGAAAACATGGGACGCAGAGTGAACGCACACTACGTGTATGGAGAATCCGGGAAACCAAGATCTTCAGCAAACTAAATATAACCGTATACATGGGTATCCATTACAATAGACTCCCCACCAATGGATTGGATGCCAAGGCTCTAAAACACCTCAATTTGCAAAGTATTAGCCCAGAATTTGTTTGTTGCGTGGGATTGTGGGAATCGGTGTGGGGAATTGGCGTCCAAAGCCCAGAGCCTGCAACGGAGCACTTTCTTCCCTGCACTGGGAAGGCGGTTTTCAGAGGATTGAACCATATAGTACAGACAGTCAGGGTGCAGTGTGATGTACTGTAGTTATAACCGTTTTATTGAGGAATCCAATCAATTGAACTCATAGCTTTGCACCTAGATGCCTGAGAAGGAGGCTAATTGAAAATTAGACTGTAGCTGAAAAGGGAACCCAAAACTTATCCAATGATGTGTCAGCCTGCTGAAATAAAAATGAACTCACTCGAAGCTGTCATGCTGCCGTGCCCAGGCGCCCAAATTGGCTGCCCTTGCAGCTCTTCAGCTCTGCGTGTTGAAACAGCAGGCTCTTTCCACCGTGCAGAAGATGGTCGTTAGATGTGCTCACACTTTGCCAAAGAGACCAAAGAGACACAAGACTGCCTGATTATCAATCAAGATGCCAGAGGGTCCATGGAGTACCAGAAAAGAAGTGGAATTGAAGATATGATTCTTTGTGTGCGTGTATATATATATATATATTATTTGTATGTCGGTTTACAATGCATGCCCATTTTGACGTCTCCGACCTCTTGACAAGCACCTCCTGGGAGAGTTTTCTTGATGGCACCCCGTCAACTCATGTCAACTCCCGGTGTTTCTGCATTGAACTGCTTCAAACCCTTCCCTTGGCATCCACGCAGTTAAATGATCACAGTCGCTCTGGTTCATGGTTTCATGGCTGCAGTCGTGCACTCCAACCCGGTGGAACTCTTGCGAAGCGGTCGTGGCACGATCACCTTCAAATCCGTGGAGCTAGATGGACTAGGGTAGGCATCCAAGTCCAACCAGGGTGGTTGGAAGGAACTAGTAGGATGATGGTAGAAGCAACTAGTAGGAACTAGTAGGATTGGTGATTGGAAGTCCAATTTGGAGGGATCCAAGTCCAATTAGGAGAATTCCTGGGGGAATCCTCCTCTTCCGGTAGTTTGTTTGCTGTTTTTAATGGCGCTTCTAGCCTGGCAAAGCCTTGACCAGGAACTGCCAATGTCACGGTTAATGACTTTGACGTCATCACATGACAAATGGCAAGCCTCACGCAGCAGGTAGACACCGCAGTCGACCTAAGCAATTTTGCCACCTTTCATACCACTCAAGCACTGTCAGTTCGTGACCGTCGCAAGCTGTGCCAGCTCCAAGCTGCATACTCTGAAAAACCGCGTTTGATGCTGCACAGTACCGATGTAGCCTGTACTGTTTAGGTTTCGCATCCGGTGTGCGTTTGCACGCTTCCATGCGCGCCCAGTGAGGTACGCCGGTGAAGGCCAGACCCTTTGAGGTCGACAGATCTCACAGGCGGGGTTGGGGCCAGGCGGATGGATGCGCGAAGTAGATAAAGAGCTATTTCCGTTGGAAAACACCGTGGGATACTGTGGGTTTGATGTTGGGCGTGCGACGGTCATATGGAATGTGGTCAATATATATGGGATGCTGATGAGTGACATGTGTTTTGTCGGCAAAGTTGGGAATATTGACAATTATTGACATGTTTTCATGAGCCATCCAGCCTTCTGCTTTGGTTCAGATTACCTTTGCAGCCCTTCGGCTTTGAAAGCTTTACTTTCAGATTCAGAACAGAACGCCTGCATGGATAGATGATGGACAAATCCTGCACTGACATGCGCCGGTCACACATGTTGTATTGAAGAGATGAAGGCATCCCATTTCAAGCGATCAAAGACCATGTTTCCATTCTAAGGGATCAAAGACCATGATTCCATCAGCTGGGCTAGACATGGTTAGACTACGCTAGACTGGATATAGACAGTTTTTGACCCCCTCACACGGCCCTGGCCTTCACTTGGCGAAGGAAGGAACGGCCCCGGCAGATCGCCAGAGCGCGAGAGACGAGGAAGCAACGATATTCGAAGCACCAGATCAGATACGTCCACAAAAAGCAATTACTGTGCAAATGCCATTAAGAAGCACACCCGAAACTGGCACGCAGCGCTACGCTGCGCGGGCGCAAGCCGGCTTTCGGTGCGTCGGTGCCCCATGGGCGCCAATGCCTGCAGCAAGATTTGCGGATTCCTTGGGAGGTCGCCAGAGGCAGGGATTCCTGGTAGAGAGGGTGATCCTCATCTGGGTGGCTTTTATGGGGACTTATGATTCCCGCCAAAAACCTGGTACGAAAGTTTACTGGTAATCTGAATGGCCACCAATCTGAATTGCGGTCCTCCCTATGGAGATCAAAAAAACGATATCACGGGAACCTGGAAACTACTCTATAAGGCGACAACTAACTCTATAAGGCGACGGAATTTCCGGGATAGACGTTCGAGCGTCTAGAGGACGAGTGGTGTTGGAGTACCTTCCGCTTTGCGTTGACCACTGCAGTTGACATTCCGGAGGTTTGGATCCTTTCCTTTTGCATTGATTTCTGGACAAGGACATACTGTAGGTAGCCTCGTGGATGGTTGTTTCACTTGAAATCTGTGAAATCCCAAAAGAAGAAGCATGACAATGGCCTTTTCCGCCATGGCGGTGTCGATGCAGCACCCAGGCAGCGCCCAGTGCCTCTACCGCTCTGCAGATGGAGAGGACGCGAAACCGGTGATTCACGGCGAGCCGTCGCGGGTTGGGTCGTCAAACGGTGACCCCCATTAGAGTGACAAGAAATGATCACATCCGTTCGTTGGGGATTTCAGGTTCCAGGCTTATATTGAAATGATTTTATACACTTGTCAGGTCGCAGGGCGTCTCAAGTCCACGCTTTTCGGGCGCCTGAACAACGGCGGTTCGTTCACGAAGCCCCCAGCTTCGCTTCAGCGATCTCCGCGCGTCTCCGGGCTCGCCGCGCTCGCTCGCTGAGATGTCCAGGATGGATGCGATCGATGCAGCCAAGCCTTCGGACGCAGGCGCTGCAGAACCCGCAACCCGCGGAATTCGAACGCGGGGGGGGGCGAGGTCATGCGAGGTCACTTTCGAGATTTGGCTGGTGAAGGGACCCTTTGGGCTGGGAGGTTCCTCCCGGTTCAGGCAAACATAAGCAAACAAGCTGGTCGGAATTCAGAGCTCCAACAGCAAAGCAAGAAATTTGGAGTCGAAACTGCCTCCAAGAAGTGTATGACGATGTCCCAATGCAATTCTTTCTAGCTGCATGATTTGGTGCTGATGGGGAGAGGTGGGAGACACCAAGAGTAAGCTTTAGATGGATGAATGTCCTAATTATTCTGAGACAAGCTCATGCTTGTCAGCGCTTGAAGAAGATGACATAAATTAGTCGTCCCTTTCTCCAGGAAAATGTGACCCTTTGGTCAGGTCAGTGGTTCAATTGAACGCCTGGTAGCGACATGGAAGTTTTGGAAAGAAGCTTATGCAGTCTTTTGAACCTCTCCGTGTGGAAAGCCGGTTCCCCAGTACTTCCGCACACTCCATGTACATCCTTGCATGCATTGATAATGTTTGGAGGGGTCGATGGTAAATATTGGAGTCCCATGGATTGTATAATTACAGTGGTTTCAGAGTATTTAGATGACACATGATGACACAATCCCCAAGTTGGGTGGTTTATGTGGACCGCCATATAGAAAACCTCTTGAGGTTTGAACCATCTACTCTGAAACCATCTGAAACCACTGTAAGTCCATTGGTTTTACACCTTTGCATAACCTGCCCTTCCCCTTCCTTCCCTTTCCACGCAGCACAGGTGGGAAGTGTGAGCACTGCACCTTGGCCAACCACCATGGGGTGGCCGGTTTGGACCAAACGGGGTCCCAAACGGAATCCATCCAAATAGGACGGGTTTGCTTGGCTGGTGTCCCGCATCTATCTTTGCGCGAAGAGGGGGGGTTCTACAACGTCATACCCTTTTTTGGGCGGGATTCCGGGGACTTGCTGGAAACTGGTGGGCACCAACGTATTCATTAGCAAAACTTGTGTTGGCAGTGGTTTGCTTAGCCTTCTTTTTCCGCCTGCAATGGCCACGGACTTGTGCTTGACACAGACAGCCAGACAGCAAACAAAAGCATTGGTTTGTGGCCACTCTTCGAGTCCTGCGCGGAGTCCTGCGCACCCGGCGCTCCCTATCCCTTCCTTTAGTTGCCACTTGCATTCCACTTGCAACTCCTTCTGTTTCATGGGCATCTACCCCAATCTGCATATAGTGTTGGCCCTTTGCCTGCAGCAAATACAGGCATGAATGAAAGGCAAAATGCCTTGCTTTGTGTGTGGAACGCCACGTAGAGTTGACTCAGTTGGATGAGGCCATGCCAGATGTGGTGGACAGAAGGGCCGACATCATGTTGGGTGTACAGCAACACTCACACCGAGCGGCCTCCATGGAGGTCCTGATCATCCAAGCAAAATTTTTCTACGTTTGATCCCACAGCGGCACGGTCGTCCCAGAGCGGCTCGTCCCATGAACAGACTCGGACGCACAACAGCAACTTCCGCAGCGGTCCGGCAGCAACAGCAGCTGCGGGTCTCAGTAAGGAATGGGAAATCCAGCTCGCAAGGTCCTTGCTCAGCAACGAGGTTCCTAGATCTCAAGGGCTTCACGCAGGAGAGAAAGAATTATCCAGAGAAGTGTGCTACCTACTAGCTGAGCAACGCTCAAAGAATTACAAAACAAGGTGGAACTCACGAACCTGAATGCCACGTACTCGAAAACAAACACCCAAACAATTGTTGACACACTTGTAGGAGACACTCTTGTGGGAAGCTCTTGTAGGAACTTGTAGGACGCATTATTGTCGGAAACCTGTGTGGGACACTCTTGGACTCTTGGGCACACTTATGGGACTTCTTGTATGACACTCACTCCTGTGGGACATTGTAGGACACTCTTGTGGGACACTCTTGTAAGACACTCTTGTCTGACACTCTTGTGGGACACTCTTGTAGGGGCTCTGTAGGACACTCTTGTGGGAAACTCTTGTGGGGCACTCTTGTCGAACACTCTCATGGAACAGTCTTGTGGGACACTCTTGCGGAACACTCTTGCAGGACATTCTTGTAGGACACTCTTGTGGGACATTCTTGTAGGACACTCTTGTGAGACACTCTTGGAAGACACTCTTGTCGGACACTCTTGTGGGACACTCTTATGGAACAGTCTTGTGGGGCACTCTTGTCGGACATTCTTGTGGAACACTCTTGTAGGACACTTTTGTGGGGCGGTACTACCAAAGTCTCCAAAAGTCAACCGTCACGTCTCCAAAACTAGCGTTTCGTTCCAGGCGTCCTCCAAAAGTCACGCGTCAAGTTTGCAAAACGAGCGTTTCGTACGAGATGTCCTCCAAAATTCACACGTCATGTTTCCAAAAAGAGCATTCCGTACGAGACTTCCTTCAAGAGC